ATTTCTCTCTCTCTCTCTCTCTCTCTCTCTCTCATACACTGAATCCAGACCGCCGCACTTTGGTAACAATCATTTTGCTTTGCTAATAAGCATCTAGTGTAAACCCCCTTTTTTAAGATCAAGGTATATACATATACACACAACAAATATGAACACATTGGATGTATGGAATCTGATTGGCTTAAATTCATGTAATAATATTAACTGCACCAAAAAAAAAAAAATGTTAACAATGATGTATTCAACCAATTGAATTGTTACAATTTTGTTTTCTTTTAGTCTATAAAAAATACAAAGTCGTCTGCTATATATTCTCATAATTTTTTTGTACATTAGTCTCATTACCTAAGGAAAATTTTTGATATTTATGGGTTACGACATGACTCATATCACTCACTAATCATCAAATACTATATTCTCTGTCGTCCCTCTAATTTCTAACATAAATTCTTGATTTTCACTATCTCCGTCCATCACAATCTCAATGAACATTATATTACCTCACCTTGCCCATGTGCTTGGAAATCTATAATCAATGCATAGGCCAAGATTGATATATATATGCATGGAACCATAGTAATATGAAATAACAATAAAGTTGAAGAGAATGTCAAACAACAGTGAACTTTGAACATTTTAAAACTATAAATGCCAATGGAAACAAGGATTTCTGGTATCCCCTTGTGATTGAGAAGTAACTCTCGAGAAATGACTGAAGTATCTTATCAAATTCTCTCTCTCTCTGCCTTTTTTTCAGGGGCACACAAGTAATACCCTTAAAATTGCAGCAACTTGAATTATAGGTCAATGGTTTTTTTTTATTTTTTTTTTATTTTTAAACATGCTCTTACTTTCTGGGGTATTTATTCTAATTCCCCTAGTAATACAGATTCATTTGAGTCCACATATAAAGCCGTCTGTCAGTGCTTTAAGCCACTCAAATCAAATTCCGTTCGTATAATCTAACCGTCACTCAAAACTAATTGATTTTGAATTAAATATCTCCAAAATTCTAACATCTATATCTATATCTATATATTATATAAGAAAAATGAAATTTCTAACCCACAAGTTTTGTGAGAGCTTCAATATCCCAATCTTAATTTTCTAATTTTTTGATTAAAATAAAAAAATCATTAGTATTTATTGACTTCTTCAAACACACAAGTCTTTTTAACTTCTCTCATACCTACTGCTACACCGTTTTGAACTTCTTTCATACCTACTAATACACCATTTTCAACTCCTACCATATACTATGGTTAGTGATGGGATTGTTAAATTATTTTTATAAAAAAATCTATAAAAAAATAATTTGTATATTAAAAATATATATAAAACAAATATAAATTCATATTAAATTTATCTACATATCTATAAGTAAAAAGAGATTTCTAACCATAAGTCTTATGAGAGTTTCAATATCTCAAACTAAAATTTTTAATTTTTTGATTTTAAATAATTAAAAAATCCTCTATAGTTCTCATTAAATATTATAATTAGATCATTTTCAATCATAACTAAAAAAAAAGTTATAACCAAATATCGCATATGATATAATCAAATACATTTTCAGTCATAATCAAAATAATGTTATAATCAATAGTTAGGCCTCGTTTGCGAATAAATTTTTTTAATAACTTTTTAATTTTTTGGCTAAAATATGATGTATAAAATAACTAGTCAACTTGTTTGGTTTTGGTTTTTAGAAAATTATACTTTTTTATTTTCTGTATTTTAATGCTTTCAATGAATTTTTTAAATATTTTAAGCATTTTTTAAAATTTTTTTTTAAACATACCTAATATAAATATATTTAAAAAGTATAATATTTGTGAAAAAAATCTTTAAAAAATACCCTAAATACCAAAAAATATATAAAAAATACAAAAATTTAGTATATATTTTGTTGTATTTTTGTGTATTTATTAATATTTTGAAATATGTTTCACAAATAATTACTATTTAAATACATCTAAGTAAGGTACATCAAAAAAATTTTTAAAAATTTGCTTAAAATTTAAAAAATATTCACTAAAAACAAAAAAATACGAAAAACAAAAAAATTCAATTTTCAGAAAATTGAAACCAAAATTTTCTCATTTTTTTATTTTGTTTAATTTTTTGTTAATACGTGTTACAATATGATTGGTCTATAAAATAATTTTATATTCTTAAAATAAAATTTCAAATTTGGATTTTTACTTAAGTTATGTTACTATAATTGGAATGAGATTAATATTCATTCCTCAAATTTTGCATCCTTTATTAAATTATAAAATAAAATTTAAATTCAAATTTTTCTTCAAATTATATTGCTACAATTAGAATAAGATCAATATTCACATGTACCATAATTATATGTTATAATATTATTGGTCTAAATATAATTTATTTTAAATACACGTGTTCAAATTATTAATAGTTATTAATTTTTTTTTTCTTTTTTTGTTTTAAATTTTATAAAAAAAAATTATACCCTTATAAACTATAAGGACTTGAACAATAATATTTTTTAATAATTTTTTTTTTTCTTTTAACAAAAGAACAAAATATAACTTTTTTATAACGTTTTTAGTATTTACCAAATATAGTAGATTTTGGCCTCTTTTAGGAAGTGGCTTTTAACCACTTCCCAACTTTTAACTCATTTTATGCCTTATCATCTCTTATATTTTTTACACGTTTTTTTAAAAAAAGTCAAAAAAAAGGTCAAAAAGTCAACTTTTAACCATCTTCCTAAAACAATCCTTTGATAGAATTTTTTTAAAATTTTAAAATCTCAATTGTCAATTAAAAAAATTAAAATAAAGAATAAAGATATATTTTGCTCAAATTGTTAAAAAGTTACCTTTGCTAAAATAAATTAGAAAGAAACGTTAATTTTTTTTAATTAAAAGTGATAGTTCGTTAAACTTTTTTTATTTAAAAGAAAAGGGTCATAAGTGATAATTTATTGTTCATCTAAAATTATTTTCAAATTAAATGAAAATACCATATTAAATTTTCTTCTTACTTTTTTTTATTCAAATACTTTTATGTTTTAATAAATTTGTTTTCATTCTATTTAACATTTTATTGTAATTTTTAAATTAAAAATAATTTGTAAAAAATCATATTTAAATTATTTATGCCATTATAAAAGATAATTTTTTTTAATATTAACTTAGTGGTAGTTTGGGAAATACTAAATAATTATACTTTGTACTTTTTACGAAAATATATACAGAAAAGTCTAGATGTGATATGACCCAAAAAAGATAATTAAGTATATATATATATTTTTTTACTTTTTACGAAAAAATGTATACAAAAGTAGGGATGTGATGTGATTTAAAAAAGAAGAAAAGATAAAAAAAGTGAGCTAATATGACACTTCCCAAACAACCATTTATTCGATAATCTCTTTTTAAAAGATGTATTTTTAAAATATTTTAAAGAAAAATTCTATTGGAAATTTTAAGTATATTGCTTTTTTATTTTGTTCATTAATATTAAATTTTTAATTAATTTTATTTATTATTTGAAAAAATAAATTAGCAAATAATTTATATATTTATATATATAATTTTGTTTTGGTTGCTCAAGTTATTTGGTGTTTCTATCCAAATCCACTCAAATTTAATTTGAATTTTTTAATTTCTGCATAGATCCTTGCTTAATTAAAAACTATGCTGTTCAATTTTTAAAAATTCTTAAACTTGACTTAAGTTGCTTGGGTTGAGCTCAACTAAGTTTGCAATTCCAGCAAAAGAGTTGAAAGTTACATGATTAAATTTGTGACAAATTAAAAAATAATAAATAAATTCTGATAAAATTGTGGGATTTAAATTGAAAATTTCAATCTTCTCTGTTTTCATAATTTGCATATAAAAATTTAACTATTTATATTATTTTGTCAAAAAATATATCATTAATTTTTTTACATGCTGTGCGTAGCACGGTTTACAGCCAGTAAAGTCAAAGTCAAAAGCTAATTTTTAAAATGAAGGTACGTGCTCACTTGGCAATACTCGTCACGTGCTGACCAGGGACATGAACCTTACTCATTCCTAGGTACCCGTGCTCTGATATCATGTTATACAATTTTGGGTAAAACTCAGCCTTCAATGCTAGTTTTTAAAGTAAAAATGCCCTCACGCTTATATTATACACATTATTTTCATACTAAGCAGTGTGGGATTTTACTTCACATTCACCTAGATATATTTATCTCATCTTGTTCATCTCTTTGTCACCTCCACATGCAACCGAACTTCATGTGCAGAAAGTGTTAGAGACTTATCCTAGATCACCTCCTAAGCTACCCAAGTACAATTTGTATATTTTAAATGCCCATTCCCCTAGTACAGTAAATTTTAGGTTGGCTGTCTCTAAAAATCTAACACCCACAATTAGAAACAGCTAAATCCCATTTCTCCAGAGTGAACTCAATTTTATTTTATTATTATTTTTTTTAATCCCAAGTCTAGCAAATATCCTTGAAGAGGTATGACAGTTGAAGAGAATTTGGTTATTGCAAGATAATATGTAATAAAGGGCACAATCATAATCATAAATAGGAATATGCCAAAAATAAAGTGTATCAGTGCAAAAACAAAACATAAACACAAGCCAATACCCTTTATCACATTTTCCAATCCTTTGGTTATCTGTTTCTTATCTAATGCACCATTGAGTACCGGAAGGATTTCCAATAAAATATACAAAGAAAATAGCTTCTACATAGAATAAACCTTACAAATGATTAGTACCACCACAAAATTCAACAAAAGACCATTATAATATCAAGTACAAATCCTAATATCCTCCGCAAATTTAGCTAACAAGTTTAGAGCGCAAGTTTCTTACTGTAATCCCATTCATTGAGTAGGATAAAGAAAATCAATTATTATAATTAACAATTAAGAGAAGTGTTTGGCGTTATAAATATATTACAATCAACAATCTCCGTAATTAATTCTCTAGTCCATGTGCATTTAGGAGATTTGGTGGTTTGTTTGTGGGCATGCAACAAAATGACTGTGGAAAAGCAGCAACATGAAGCATCCGAAGCAATTTTAGAGAACGTGTGGGCGAATTTCATTGCTCAAAATGAACCGGACAAGTCTGAATTGTCCAAAGCATGGGAAGAATTGCCAAGTCTTGATGGATCAATGGAGACTCTACAAAGGCTTCCAAGTCTTGGGAGGTGGATATCAATGGGAGCCGAGGCATGGGATGAACTCCTAAGTGGAATTATTGACCCTCCACGCGATATGGAACAGTCCTCATCATCTAATCTTGATTTAAAAAGCAATGGTGCCAATTCAAAGCCAAATGCCATGACACCTAAGAGGGCAGTTACCAAACACTATCGAGGAGTCAGGAGGCGACCATGGGGAAAATATGCAGCAGAGATAAGGGATTCATCGAAAAAAGGGGCTCGGATTTGGCTAGGGACATTTGAAACAGCGGAAGAAGCTGCTTTGGCATATGACAAGGCTGCATTGAGAATTAGGGGTCCTAAGGCCTATCTCAACTTCCCAATTGAGACAGTTGCCAAAGCTAATGGAATTGCTTGTTCATCGACAACTTTTCAGGATGGCTCGGGTTACCCATTTCATGAATGTGGGAAGATTGTATCCAATCTGCTGAAAAGGGGTCCGAGAAAATGGGAAGAAAGGGAGGAGTTGGTTGTGAGTGGACAACCCAAATTCAAGAGAATGGCAACCATAGAAAAGACATTTGGGGATGGCTTTGATGTGTTGGAGTTTGAGGACCTTGGGAGTGATTACTTGGAGAGCTTGATGTCCTCTTTGTGACAAAAATTCTTGAGATTGAGGGTCCAATAAAGAAAATCAAGATTAAAAAAAAAAACTTCTAAAATATGATGTACAGGGTATGAATTTTTTTTTTAATATTTATATACAGGTGTGTTATCTTAGCCATATGTAGGGAATGTCCAAATTGAATTGGGCAGTCTGAAGCAAACATGTTTCTTGTAAGGTTTTGTCACTCATAGAGGTTGATTTAGCATAACAGAATACAATTTACCATGTTTGTGTATATAGAAGCATTAAATAAGAAATTTTAGGTTGTATATGAAGGATTTTGAAATTTGTTTGGATCTTACTTAACTGATCAACCAAATTACATATATGTTGTTGAAGTTGTATGCCATATATTGAGTATTTTTGCTTTGATTTCCCCAAGTATGGTATTAAAGTTAAAAGAACGACGCACAATGTCACCCACAAAAAAAAAAGTAATAATAATAAAAAAATAAAAACTAGATCGGTGAAAATAAATATCAAATAGACGTTTTCACCACAAAAAAAATAAAATAAAATAAAATAAAAATCATAGAAAAATGAGAGTGATTTTAACTTCTTTTTTTTCACCAAATTATTTTTTATTTACTTTTAAGAACTTTTTAGAAAACAAATTTTGAAAGAGCCGTGCTAGGGAGCTCGAATTTGGAGCCCCCGAATCCCCCGAATCAACCAAAAAACAAGAGGAGAAGAAGAAGAAGAAGAAGACGCACGAAAAAGAGAAGGAAGAAGAACGAAAAAGAGAAGGAAGAAGAAGAAGAAGGACTGGAGAGGGCAATATCAACCGGGCGGAGGCGGAGGCAGAGGCAGAGGCAGAGGCAGAGGTGGAGGCGGGACGGAGACGATCGGCCGACGAGCTGCCACGAGCGATGAGCTGCGATCTGCGATCGACATCCACCGTCGCTCGCACCGCCATCACCACACCCATCGTCACACCCGCCGTCTCTCTCTCTCTTTCTCCCTCTCTCCTCTCCTCTATTTCTCCCTCTCTCTCCCTCTGTTTCAGAAAAAATAAATAAATAAATAAAAATAAAACTCGTTTTGGGCAGTCGGGGGATTCGAGGGGAAAACTTTCGAGGTACAAAACATTTTTCATTTTGAAAACGATGAAAAAAAAAAGGAGTAGACTATGTTTTTGGGAAAATATTTACCCCTTGTAATTTAAAGTTTTGAGTGTTTGCTTTACATTCGGCAAAGGTGTGGTGAAGGTTTCAATGACTGTTTTGGGCCTTGTAAGCAGGCTGAAGTTGACTTACATTAGGCCCGTTACAAATATCTTTTGTTAACAAATGCCCACTATAAGTTTAAATGAGCATAAATTGAAATATATTAATGGTAATAATTGACTCCTTATTTTAACATGGTCCTTCTATCACTTCACTGTAAAAAATTTGAGTAAAAGTTACAACATAAAAATTGAGGATGAAAACATAATTTTCTCTTAAAATGTAATATGTGAGGACTTTTAGTACAACATTGAAACATACATCAAAATTTGAGAGATTGATCGTTTCAATTACAAGATGAAAGCTCAAAGTGAAATTCGATTGAAAGTTAATGGGTTAAAAATGTAATTTACTATAAATATTATTTTATAATTTATTATAATAAATTCTTGAAAAAATTATAAACAGTCTATGCCCTTATGCCAACTAAGAAAGAAAAGAAATGTTATTCTCTTAATCTCAACAGGTCTCCCATAGAAATAAATAAAAAAAAATTATAAACAGTCTATGCCCTTATGCCAACTAAGAAAGAAAAGAAATGTTATTCTCTTAATCTCAAACACGTCTCCATAGAAATAAATAAAATTAATTAAAAGTTCATTTCAACATTTTTTTTTTTTGGATGGTTCATTTCAACATTCTAAACCATGCTATTGATTGTGACTTGCATGTGAAAAATGTAATAGTTTTATGTTATTTATTTTTAATAATTTGTAGGAAGGGAAAAAAGAAGGAAAAATTGCATAGTATATTAGTAAAATTCAAATTCAGACATTACATTTGTATAAAAGTCTCTCTTATGCATTAGAAGAAGTAAAGATGTGTTTGTTGATCTTAAATTTATGAAAGAATTTGTATAGAAGAAAAGAAAACATAAAAGAGATATGAATTAAAAACATCGTGATTACATAAAGAAAAAATATTTTCTATTATTATTTATGCAGATCTTATAATTTACTTCTACTCCCATTAATCAAGTCCTTAAAAACCAATAAAACATAAACGATAAAAAAAAAAAAATTAATTTTTGCATTTTTGCAACTTGAAAATGATACCTTATCATATGTATCTTTGTTTAACATTCGTTTAGGTAACTAAGGCCCCATTTGTTTTCAGAGGTAAAATGGAAGAGATCGATAGTGAGAGGATTAATAGTGAGGAGATTGTTAGTGAGGGGATTAAGTAAAATTGTGTTTGTTTTGATGATAGTTGTTAGTGTAGGGATTATTAAATTATTTTTATATAAAATAATAAAACAAATAAAAAAAATACAAAAACATTAAACATTAATATTTTAAAAAAATGCCCAACAAGTAAAAAAATTTAAAAAAATAAAAATAAAATAAAAATTTCTAGAAAAAAATAAAACAAATAAAATAATGATTTTTACTTAACAAAAAATACAAAAAATTAAATATTAATATTCAAAAAAAAAAGGCCCGACATGTAAAAAATAAAAATAAAAATAAAAAATTTCTAATCCACCAGACTATTTTTCTAATATCAAGTCCTAGAGATCCATCTGAATCCCTTTGCCGTCCATCCTAATCCGAAGCTTACTATCAATCCCTTCCCTATCTCTCAAAACAAACAATATTAGTGGGTTCCATCTCACTACCAATCTCAATCCCTCCTCTAACTCTCCAAACAAACCGGGCTAAACTAATAGAGGCTTGGTTTGGGAAGTGGGTTGGCTTTTTGGCTTTTTGACTTTTTTAGCTATTTTAGCCTGGGCTAAAAAACTTGGTTTAGGAAGGGCTTTTTGGCTTTTTGACTTTTTTGACTTTTTTTTTGTGAGAGAAGAGTAATGATAGAAAAATAGAGAGGTTAAGTGAAAACTTATAGTAAAATAAGCAAAGCAGTATATTTATAGAGACAAATAATCCTTAATTTTAAAATATTTAGAGTTGATGGTACAAAATCCATTAAAATTTAATGAAGCACAAATTAAAATAGCCAAACAAAAATGGCTAACAAATATTTTCCACCCTCTCACCATGGTTGGGCTGCTACTAAACAATGAAATGTTATTTTTTTCAAGTACATTTATGCGACTAATAATTGAGCTAATTCAATTAATTGCTCTCTATTCGAGAGGTCAGGGATTAATTTTTTTCAAAGATAAATATTAATTATTTCTTCTCTATTATAAGAATTGTATTAATTTTTTTTTTTATTTCCTTTCATTATGGGCTTTCTTATGGTGGTTGGTGAGCTTCTAACTATGTGTTATTGAACCATAATTATCTAATTTAATAAAGAATCTTCTATCAATTGAAAGAAAAAAATATTTCATTTGTGCATTGATTGGATTGCCGTTTGCCAAGTACAAGTAGTGATTGGAGTCCATATATAAAGCCTTGTCTATCATTGTTTTAAGCCACTCAACTCAAGTTCAGCTTGTATAATCTAGAAGTCATTCACTTAAAACTAACTAATTTTGAATTAAATGTCCCCAAAATTGTAACATAATGTCAAAGTCAAAAGCTAACTTTTAAAATGAACGCACGTGCTCACTCGGCAACACCTGTCACGTGCCGACCAGGGACATTGAAACATACATCAAAATTTGAGAGAATGATTGTTTCAATTACAAGATGAAAGCTCGAAGTGAAGTTCGGTTGAAAGTTAATGGGTTAAAAATGTAATTTACTATAAGTATTATTTTATAGTTTATTATAATAAATTCTTGAAAAAATTATAAACAGTCTATGCCTTTATGCCAACTAAGAAAGAAAAGAAATGTTATTCTCTTAATCTCAACAGGTCTCCCATAGAAATAAATAAAATTAATTAAAAGTTAATTTCAACATTCTTTTTTTTTTTTAGATGGTTCATTTCAACATTCTAAACCATGCTATTGATTGTGACTTGCATGTGAAAAAAAGTAGTAGTTTTATGATATTTATTTTTAATAATTAGTAGGAAGGGGAAAAAGATGGAAAAATTGCATAGTATATTGGTAAAATTCAAATTCAGACATTAACATTTGTATAAAAGTCTCTCTCATGCATTAGAAGAAGTAAAGATGTGTTTGTTGATCTTAAATTCATGAAAGAATTTGTATAGAAGAAAAGAAACGTAAAAGAGATACGAATTAAAAACTTCGTGATTACGTAAAGAAAAAATATTTTTTATTATTATTTATGCAGATCTTATAATTTTCTTCTACTCCCACTAATCAAGTCCTTAAAAATCAATAAAACATAAACGATAAAAAAAAAAAAATTAATTTTTGCATTTTTGCAACTTGAAAATGATACCTTATCATATCTATCTTTGTTTAACATTTGTTTAGGTAAGGAAGGCCTCATTTGTTTTCAGAAGTAGAATGGAGGAGATTGATAATGAGAGAATTAATAGTGAGGAGATTGTTAGTGAGGGGATTGATAGTGAGAGGATTAAATAAAATTGTGTTTGTTTTGATGATAGTTGTTAGTTTAGGGATTGTTAAATTATTTTTATATAAAAAAATTAAAAAAAAATACAAAAACATTAAACATTAATATTTTTAAAAAAAAAGCCCAACATGTAAAAAAATTTAAAAAAATAAAAATAAAATAAAAATTTCTAGAAAAAAATAAAACAAATAAAATAATGATTTTTACTTATCAAAAAATACTAAAAATTAAATATTAATATTCAAAAAAAAATACCCGACATGTAAAAAATAAAAAATTTCTAATCCACCAGACTATTTTTCTAATATCAAGTCCTAGAGATCCATCTGAATCCCTTTGCCGTCCATCCTAATCTGAAGCTTACTATCAATCTCTTTCCTATCTCTCAAAACAAACACAATATTAGTGGGTCCCATCTCACTACCAATCTCAATCCCTCCTCTAACTCTCCAAACAAATCGGGCTAAACTAATAAAGGCTTGGTTTGGGAAG